AATGGGATCGTGAAAAAGAATTACGTGAAAAATTAATGCGTCAAGTTATGGATGAAAGACAAGAACAAGTTATGGAAAAATTACACGCATTAAAAGAACAACAAAAAGAAACATATGAAAGACGACGAGCACTTATTGCTGATATGGAACAAGCTAGAAAATATGATTTAGTTGAAAAACAAAAACAAATCAAAGAACGAGAAGATAAAAAACAAGATTTACAAAAACAAGTAGATATTATTTCTTGTTTTGTTTTTTTTTCTTCTTTTCAATAGAAATTCTATTTGAAATAAATTTCAATTAGATATCAATTGCACATCAAGAACGAGCACAATCTCGATTAGAATTAGAAAAACAAGATGCTATTGAACGTGACGAGAAAAAACAAATGGATCGATTAGTACAAAAACAAAAAGCTGTTATTTCTGCTACAACTGTTGAACCGAAAGTAATTTATATTTTATTGAATGTTTTCTTTTTTTCTCTTTACAATTATTTTATTTAGTTTTATGGTCGTCGTCGTGTTAATTGGAATTAATTGATTTTCCTTTTTTGTGTTTTGTCTATGTATATCTTTTCCTTCTCATTTTACAAATTTCAAACGATTAAAATCGTTTAAATCAAGAGATTAAACAATTTTCACTTCAATATTTGAAAAATAAATTCTTATTGGTGTTAGCCATCTTAAATACAAATAGATATTAGATTAAAAATAAATAAAAATTAATTCTTTTCAACCTTAATATAATCATCTTTAGAAATACCATTTGGGGCTCGTGCAAACTTCCATTAATAAAATAAATATATTAGATGAAATTGTTATTTGTTTATCATGAACATCTGAAGACTTGATTACAAAAAGAAAAGCAGTTATTTGAATTATATTTAATTAATATTTTCTCCTAGTCATGTCATGAACTATTTTCGAAATGTCTGAAATCATAAATCACTGTTCAGCATTTACATATACTTTGAACTGTTCTACATAAAAAGAACAACTTTGTATGATTGGATAATGTTATCAATGTACTGTACTAAGTGTCCTCGACGCGACGCATACCTTAAAGGATATGCCTCGATTAAATGTTGTGAATGTGTAAGATTACAAGAAATTTCATTGGTGTCTGGCTGAAAATGTGTGAGACCAAGTTTTTTTTGGTTTCAGTCATAGTCCCGATTCAGAAAAAACTATTTCAGAATATATTCGTACCACATTTAAAACAATTTTTCAATAATCGTTTTTTTTTATTTATTTAGTCGACAATAAGCATTTTTTTGAGCAATTTTTCTTCATTTATGTTCTGACTCATAAGATAATTTATTAGAAACTTCAGTTTTGGTTCCTCATAGCTCTAGTCTGGGTGAAGCCCAGGTAATCAACAAGCATTCAGGCGTACTTCGAGATGTTCTATTCATATAAATAATAGTTGAGTGTAGTTGACAGATAGCATCAGCGTACTCTATCAATATTCAATATAACATATCTGAAAGATGAGCGATATCATTTAATACTGCGTAATTATAACAGTATGATGAAAATGGGTAGAGTCTGTGCGGACCACTGGTGGTTATATCAAGATTAACATATGCAAAGCGATGTGATCTATTGGTGAGCCATAGCAAAAAAAGTGAATATCTCTACTCTATCTTAATCAAGTGGGCTTAGCTTTTTGCCAATGAAAGAGATATGTTTAGAAAATTTTCATCATAAAAAGAAGCGTCTATAGGTGCTGCATTATGGTATTATAATCGACTTCAAGAAGGTAAAGTGATCCTCTACAAGCTTTGAAAAAAAAACGTTTCTCTCATAAAGAAAATCTTTAGATCATACTTCTTTCATTGACAAAATTATTAGCCCATCTGATTAACATTCAGTAGATATATTCTAATTTCTTTACAGTAATCTACTTGTGTGTAACATTGTTTCGAATATATTAAAAGAAACCTTTTATAATTATTTTGTTCATATAATCAATGCTTACCAATTCAATAGATCTTTTTTACAAAGAGATAACTCTGTCAGTTAGAACCAAATTGAGACTTGTAAAATATTATTCTTTTGAATTTATCAGATCAATTGAAGAAAATAGGAAAACAAAAAAATCTCATTTATTGTTTTGAATTTCTTCTCATTGCAAACATGAATCAATTTATTTTATTTCATAGAAAAAAGTTCATATTCAAGCATAGAACATTATTTATTTCTGATATTTATTATCAAAGAACATCATCAAGTTAATGACGTTCGGGAAAAAGACATTCTCAAATACAATACCAAAATCGTCTGTCATATTGTCAATCTCTCAAAGATATGCTTTCCTATTTAGAAAATATTTTATATACATATTTTATTGTGATGTATCTTATTCTATAGGAAAAAAGTGTTTTGGGTTGAAAAATTATATTTTATGCTTTGAATTGTATTGTAAGAAGAAAATGTTGTCATAAAGATGCAAATATCCTGATCAAATCATGAACATAAATGATGAAATATTTATAGTGAAATGAGAAATATACGCCTCACTTAAAAAACGAGATGAAAGCGGTGTAAAGGATAATGGTGATCGCACCTAAACATAACTGAAAAAAGTTCTTTTGCTCAATTTTTTCCTCATATTTATTGTATTTATAGTATTATCTAAAAAATAGTTCTTCATTTCTGAACACTTATCTAAGAACAATAATATAAACTTGAAAATACCATAAACGAATATTTAATTTGGCAAAATGCAACTGGACATATATATATATATGTCCCAGGCAGAATTGAATTTTAGACACAATTAGCATCGGACAGAATTTGTGTCTAAGTCAGCGTGAAACTACAAAAAAGTTTTTCTTTTTTTTGTTTTTTTCTTTGAGATAATACTAATTTTAATTTGCAGCAATAAAGCAACATTGACTGATTTTTTAAAATTAGATGATTACTCAGTTTCACTAATTCAAACTTTAGTATCTGCACCAATATTCACTTTTTCGTGAATATCGAAATATGAATTTCGAAAGTATTTTTATGAATAAATCGATCAACATTTTACATTTTAAAGTATCACATTCTAATAGAAGATAGTGATTATTCTACGACTGAAAATGCATAACCTGCAAGATCTTTCATTCGTTCTTCTTGGAACATGATGCAAGAAAATTTAGAAACAGAATATATTTATACTTTAATTGTCTTTGAGAGACGATAGTAATTTTTGCAGAAAAATAACCATTTGTGAAACATACTACTTGAGATAAATTTACTTGAAAATTCTTTCTTGTTTTGTTTGGAACATTTTCAATTGAAATATATAGATTTCAATTGAATACACTTATGAAGTCTACAGCTTTAGGAATTCTGTTAAATTTCAATCGAATATACTGGCGAACTTAGTAACTTATTCGATTTAGCTATACTTAAACTAAAATTGAACATAACTTTATATATGTCAGAGTTGACATGAAGTTGCAGTTAACTTTGAATTCGCAAAAGAATTGTAAAAAATTCTTTGAGAAGAAAATTTATGATTGAAAGAAAGCTTTCTAAACCAGGTAACTAATTAATTTAGATTAGAGTTCACAAAATAAAGTCACATGAAATCCTATGAATAATAAATTTTAATCGTTTTGATTTTTACCTGTTACTGTGTTATCAAAAAATCTAAACCAGAATTTATTAGGAATAATCATGTATCATATACAATGGATAATGATATTTCGACAACAAATTTAACTTTCAATGCTATTAGTGCCTATAATAATTCGTTATGCTCTAAAATCATAATTACTAGATGCAAATCTGGTGAAATACAGTTTTGTTTTTTAACTCACTCATTTCCTCCTTCAGCTCATATAAATGAATATTTGAAGAAATAACATTTTTCAAAACTTTTAACTAATCATTCAATGTCTCTGAGATAAAAAAAGAAATACATCGAAAATACTTTATTAATACGAAAAAAAAGCAAGAAATAAAGGCTCAATAATGATAAAAACCTATGAATCATTCAAATCTAACCAATCGTTCAATGTTTCCATTACAGAATAAAAAAGAAATAGAAACTTAATAATAAAAAAGTTTACAGACTGTTCAAATCTACTTGATTATTCAATGTTCCCAAGTCCCTATTTATAAAAAAACAATATTATTTAGCTATTTATATAATTTAAGAATAGAAAACCATATACACACCACTAATCATTAACTAGAAATTTTACAATACATTTTAGATATCCGTATTATCAAACTATATATTAAAAAACTTAGATTTTATTATCAACTTCTGCAATCCTTCGTCTGTAAATGAATAATATCATCTAAGAATCAACTACTTGAGAAAAAGCTTAAAAGTCATTACTAACACACTATTTATTGAAAAATTTACATAACTATGTTTAATAATGCTTAAAACTCAATTTTGGCTGACACATACGTATATACATAAATACGTATAGAGTGTTCGCTTCTATCTTAGCTTATTTTGTAGTTAGATTTGCAGACATTGTAATTTAAGGTGAATTTAAATATTATGCTCGTCACTATGAAATTCACTATGTTTCGAGTTAAGTCGATGGATTATCGGAATAATTCTTAATTAACATTGATTGTGATTTAATTCATAAATGTAACAAATGAGTATTAAATACACTAATAAAACAAACGGTATCTTAGAAATAATGAGTCTATCAATGATGAAATCCGTTCTCTTAACTTTTTAATGTTTGATGCACATTCTTTTTGAAAAACTTCTAGTAATAGAGTCTAACAGCTGGTGCCACTAAGGTGCAATCGGCTAAATATGAGTCATACTTGGTGTTAGGCCACGAATCACTTTCGTCCCAATACTGAACATGACAAAAATTGTATCAAATAATGAGTACAAAAATTGACAGATTGATAGTTTTATTGATTATATGTATACAACAGAATTACTAGATGCAAACGAAAACAATATGAATCAGAAAAATCTATTTGAAGTCAATTTTTTATGTAATCATTCTTTTATTTTGGTTGATCATCGTGTTTTAACTTGTGTCATTGTGATTCTTGTAGGATACATTTGTAATGTATCTGTTGTTATTCCTATTTGTCTATTGTCACGGTGACATTTAAAAATTTCAAAAAGTTCTTGTCGAAATAAACGACTTGTTAAACAATGTATATAAAAATCTAGAGTATGATTAATTGCAGCTATAAATACAACTATAGATGATAATTGTAATAATTGTGTTTGATTCATTGGTCCACGAAGAACAGGTGTTAATAATATATTAAATAAACCTAATGGTAATGTTGTAGCTACAAATAATGCAATTGTCGCTAACATAATTAATAACATTTGATTATCAAGTTGAACTCGACGACGTGCACGACTTGTATTTTGATTTGTTGTTTGTCGAGCTAAACGACGAAATGTATCAACCGAAAAAATAATCATTAAAATAGCCGGAAGAAGTGTTTGAATACATGAAAATAATGTTGGCCAAATTTGACGAACAAATGTATTATAAACAGAATTACTTGGTTTTGGTCCACATACTGTCATAACACCAGCTGGTAATTGAACATAATCAAGTTCAAGAACATGAGCATTAAAACCAGCAAAAAAAATAACAATTATTATTGTTGCTATGAATGCATTCCTTATTGTACAGTATTGTTTTGATTTATATGGAAACCTAATACGAATCCATCGATCAATAGAAATAGTAACTAATAACCATGCATTACAACACATTGCTATCCATTGAATATAATTACGAAATCGACACATAGCTGAAGGACTCAATGATGTATCACGAATTTGTAGACCTACATTGATAAAATCATAAATGCTTACCAAAAGATAAACAGAATCGGAAATAGTCAATGCAATGAATAAACAACTTGTTGAAATACGACGCAGCATTGGTCGAAGAAAAATTAGAAAACTATTTGTATGACCAAATGAACCGAGAATAAATAGAAGAGCATATCCAAAAAGTGCTATATTGCTTTGAATAGCTGTAATAGGTGGTGCTGGAGGTGCTGGAGGTGGACGTCCTGGAGGAGGATTTGAACCAGGACTAGAATTATTAAATATCCGTGGTAGAAATATAGATGCGTTCATATTATAAGAAACGCTTCAATCTTTTTGCACTTATGATTCTAAATCACTGACAACTCTGAAATGATATTTAGACATAGAAAATAGTCATTAACATCACATCAGTATTTATTTGGCAAGACTGTCTTTACTTAGAATTATTTCTGTATCTGACAGAGAGACAAAATTTATATTGTGCAAAATAGAGAAATGGCAGCAAATAATTAAAAAAATGTTTACCTGTCAAAGCCATTATTTATGTACAAGACAACATTTTCATGTTCAAAGAACTTAGTAGGAGCTGCTCTAATTGATTCACCGATTTTGAACTCATATTTTGAACATATCGAGACGAATTTGCGATTAAAATAATCATGAAAAGACAAATATTCATAGACCTTCTGTACAGAGTTATGATATTTTTGCTGTATTTTTTGAAAACGAAATAAAGAATATTTTGAAGTGAAATTTTATCTATCGATAGGTCTCATTATTTTACAAATATTTCTCAAAGTGCCAATTAAATCGATTGATTTCTTCTTATAACTTTTCAACGTTAAAAGATTCCCAATTCTGTAGAACTCACATATATTTTCGAAGAAAACAGTGAATGTAAGTTTTAAGTCGAGTTTTTGTGGCTCTCCAGCCCCCATGACAGATACTGAGCAACCAAAGTACTTCTCCCATATTGCAGTTGCCGTTTGATTATCATGAACAGCTTGAATTGTTCAAATTACAACCTAAAAAATAGTCAATATCAGATTTTTGTGAATTGATCGAGACATATAATAATACGTTAAGACCTGCTGCTGTGTAGATATAATGGATATTTGCAACAACCTTATTTGTCATTTAATTCAATGGTTATAAGGATAAAAATATTAAATTAAGAAAAATAAAATACAAAAATGAAAAATAACGAGCGAATAGAAATGATGCAAACAAGAAAAAGAGCACCCGTAAAAAAAAAGTAAAAGTTTTTGTTCGAAATGCAGAAATAAATAAAAAGAATCTTTACTTTGCTGATCAACTATCTTCAAGCATAACTATAGTCTGTAAGGGAGTTTTTGTTTCAGTTCACATAATTTATATTAGTTTAATGAGATTAAAGAACATATATGAGTTCCACATTTCAGCCCCCACTTGGCTGCATTAACAAGCATCTTCTTGTCATTTCAAGAATCTACACAGAGTGATCCAAAAGTTCTCCGAAGTATCTTCGGTTCTTGCTACTTGACATGATAGAGGGCTTTCTCTTTAGTATTCAATCAATATCCGAACTGACTGATAGACTGACCTGATTGAATGCTTATGATTTGCTTTTAGCATCTATAGAACTCTTTTTTTCCCTAAATAATGTACTTTGAGATGGATAAGGTACACATTCGATTATATATTTGTCTGAGAGCAAAACTCAGCTGCACAACAAAGCTATTTCATACAGAATTGTGTAACACATAGAGTAAAAGTCATATGTCATGCAACGCTTCAAACAAGATAGAACCTCTTTAGAAGATAATTTGAGAATTAGCTGACTAGTAATCGAACTCATCGGCGAAAATTTTGAGATCATTTGTGCCTTAATTAAGGAAAATCCGCACATTTATACGCAGTGCAGAATACTTGAAGTTGGCCTACCTTATAACTCTATTAGCAGAATTATTCATGATGAACTGAAATTAAAAAAGTTGTGCGCAAGAGGAATATTATGTTAGCTAACATAAAAATGCAAGCAGTCACGATTAACATATGTCAACCAAATCTTTGCCAAATTGGAAATAGATCATTGACATCTATGTGATACTATTTGAGAGAAAAAAGTATGGATTTATCATCGTCGCATTAATTCGAAACAGTATAATATAGCATGAAGTTCTGAAGACTCAAGCTCAACAACAGTAGTGGTCAGTTGATGTCAATTCGAGCAAAAGAATATGTTTGTCGTCTCCTAAGGAACAACAGGAACGGAGTTTGGACACATGTTTAAATCCAGTAACACAATATCTGTTATTTACTACAAAGACAATGTCCTGAAAACTTTGTTTAACAATATTAGAGAAGAAATATCAAAGTCTGGCTTACACACCATAAAGCTACACAACGACAGTACACGATCTTATACAACAAAAGATATTAAAATTCTTCTCCAGAACCAANACTCGACCGAGACATTGTTAAGACTGAACTGTTTAGAAAATTTCATCGCGATTGGACTCTCCTTTCAAAAGTTATCGTGTTAACGGCCGGCCGGACGGACACACTGACCGATTCTAGAGTGTACTCACTTTTTGAGTACACAACAACCTATATATTTGGATATATATTCTCACGCAAGCGAAGTAAATTCTTATTATTCTACACGCTTCTCCACATAAACATTTTATTATTCATATCTATTACGTAAAACTTTTTGCTGAATATGGCAACCTGTACAACTAATGATCTACATGAAATTCAAATGGATAGCGAATCTGAAGATGATTCTGATATGGAAATTGATGAAGTTAGTTCATCAGATATAGATAGTGGTGAATCGGATGATAAAGTAGCACCATCGAAAGAACAATCTACTGATCAAAACTGGAGCAAAACCGCTTTCAAGCCGCATCTCTTCCATTTCGACGAACAAAATTCTGATGTTTCATCGAACATACACGCTATAAAAGATAACACACCTCTTGATTTTTTCGAATTATTGTTTGATGTAAAAATGATTAAGTTAATTGTTAAAGAAACGAACAAGTATCAGGACATTTTTATCAACAATGTAACACATAAAACAGCTTCGCATCAAGTAAAGTGGGCACAGACAAATCGCTCTGAAATGTACACTGTTCTAGCTACAGCTATGCTCATGTGTGTAACTAGAAAGAATAAGATCCTCGACTACAGGTCAACAGATCCAATGGTTATCACACGTATGTTTGGACAACTATTTTCTAGACATAGATTTCTTATGCTCTTGAAGTACTTGCATATCAATGATAAGTCAAATCAAGTAGACGACAACAGATTATATAAAATCAAATCAGTGATAAATGATCTACAGAAGAAATTCAGATCACTTGTTATTCCATACAAAAACTTAATAATAGACGAATTACTCATTCTTTGGAAGAGCCGTCTGGCGTTCAAACAGTATATACCAACTAAACGTCATCAATTTGGGATAAAAGTATTCGTCATCTATGTAACGAAAAATGAATGATGATAAGCTGTTTCGTTACTGCTGCAGCATTTGTTTAATTGTGATCACAATGACAAACTGGTGGAGTAGCTTTATCGCTACGTTCGATGTATGATGATGTTTACTTTATTACTCTATCATCCAGTTTGTATCGATTACACATAGAGCAGTGCATTATATATGATCTTTGTAGATCGATAGAGTAAAACGTGCTGATCACAAATATCGTATTTATTGTTAAAATTACTTGGATAATGAGAGAAATCTAGGGCTTTTTTGAAAGACCAAAAACTCAGATTTTGCCTAAAAGATCATTGATACCCGTTTAGGATCCATTGAAAATAGATTCCTTCGATGCAGAGTGTTTTTGTACATCAGAATCTATGAAAACCTTTCGAAGATGATAATTCCTTTCTATCGATAATGTCGGAATATGATCCCCAGGGTTCCGATGATCGTAATCAATACTTTTTCAGTCTTACGAAAATATAGTTTACATGAATGAATCAACGAAACTTTTATACCGCAAAGATAATTCAATGAACTCTTTTCAATGAGACTATTTTGAATGGATCCTAAACGGGTATCAATGATCTTTTAGGTCAAAAACTAAGTTTTAGGCCTTTCAAAAAAGCCCTAGATTTCTCTCATTATCCAAGTAATTTTAACAATAAATACGATATTTGTGATCAGCACGTTTTACTCTATCGATCTACAAAGATCATAAATGGAATGAAGACAGGTTTTCTTTTTTCTTTCTTTTCTTTGTTTTGCAAAGTAAAGGTAAATTAACACCCCTACCTCTTCGTCATTCTTTGCTTTATTTTAATCGTAGTGAACAAAAGCCTTTCGTATATTCTATTTTTAAGATATTTAGAAAATGTCGAAATTATATGTAACCTAGTGTAATACACGTTAAACGTTAGATTCTTTCACATCTAATAGGAGAAAACTATAAGCAACCGAACGCAAAGGTCTATACACTCGCATTCATATTTATGCAGATAATCAAGTCATAATACAATTAATTGGTAGAAAAATCTATGTCTAATCATTGAACGGTTCGAAATATTATATGAAGTGAGCATGACAAAGAGCTGAGAAAATCTACTGTTTCCTGCGTAAGATTGACTGCCATAGATAACTGATATACGCCCAATCGAAAGTAACGGATTCTCTTATGAATATATCGAAACAGAAAATCAGAATTAGCACGTGACATTTATACCTGTCTGATATATTGTAAACTAGTTTCTGTTTCTAAGAGAAATCGTGAAAATCAACCCTATCCACGAAAGTTCAAGGAACAGTCAAACACCATTAGAAAACAAGCAGACTAATCTTCTTGATCAAACGTCGTCCCATCTGTAGCTCGACATGGAACGGACTCTGCTGAATAAGTAACGGTGCTCTCTTTTACTTTTGGATCAATCGTGGAGATCTTGTGCCTCAAAAACACATGTTCCAAACATTCTAATAGACTTTGTGCATCTAGAAGCTCGAGCTTTAGCATATAGCTGACATGATCTACAATATCACCAGTTCGCGAAAAAAATCAGTTTTATTGATTTTAACAAGTTCTACACGTCAGTATTATCTCATATACGAATGAGATATACTTTGAAAGTATCGAGAGAAGATAAAACACTCAGTGGCAGACGTACAATATCGGCAGGACGAAAGAAGAACGATCATGGTTAAAAGATGTTCTTTGAAGTCCATACGAAAACGTACAGGCTTATTTATGACCGTTTTCGCTGTAAAAATGACAAACAAGTATGGAAGAAAGAACCGTTGTCACAGCATTCTTTCCAAGATGGATATAGCAGAATTCTAAAAATTGGAATTCATTAACATTTCTAGTAAATTCTTATGAGTTTATCAAGGTATCAGCTATACAAAGAAGAAATAGTAGTATTCTGGATCTTATATAATTCCGGTATTTTGTTGTGGCTCTTTTCCTAATATTTGTCATCGGAAATATAATATAACAATAGGTGAATGATAGGTAATACAAGTTCAACTAGAAAATAGTCAGCAGAGCTAAGTCCATATTTCAAAGGGGAGGGGGGCTTAATAAGTAACACGGACATAACAATCACTGATAATAGCAAATGTTCTGTTTGTGCAGATTCACAAAATAATTTTCTTTCTTTCAAAGAAACCCACGTAGCTTTCTCGCAGTTTCGATTGTTTGTGTCGCTGTCAGCCAAAAACGATTAGTTTTTCCCTACAAAATATGGATAAATGGGGATCAATCAACATCTTCCTGTAGTGATTTTAATGACTTTCAATGGTTTTAATATCGAATTTTACTTTTAATTGAAACTAAATATACAAAAACCTCGAACCAAAGGCGCACCAACGTCTACAAAGCGGAGGGGGAAAGCACAAATTTCCGCATCTCGAATCTGAAAATCAGGCTGCGCAATATGTTCACTTACATCAATTCAACGGTTAAATCTCCTTAGAAAAGCTTTTTTTTCTGTTTTGCTATTGAAAACAAACAAAATTTCCAAAATCAGAGGGCGCAGTACCCCACGTGCTCCCAACCTGAGGGTGTGGGTGTGGGTGGGGTGGGTGGGGTAGGTGTGGGTGTGGGCGTCGTAGGTGTGGAGGTCCTCATCTCTCTTGGTCTACACCCACACTCACACCCACACCACCACACCCACACCACCACACCCACACTCACACCCACACCACCACACCCACACCCACACCCACCCTTCTCACTTGTTCAATCTTAGTCATGTTATTTCATTGATTAGAATAACAATAATATTCCTATCATTAATATTCATACAATCCACTCATCATATAACCCGAGTTGAATAGAAGGAATCGTTTGTTCTGATGAATATACAACTGAATATTTGATAATTGACGCATTGATTAATTTCGATCAAATTTGCATGATTCTTAACTACTTACCTCATTTACGAAACACTCGTTTTAAATTCTTTTTCTATACGATATGCTAATAAAAATTGATCAGACTTACCACTTCCAAATTTTTTTCGACAGTTAGCCTCCTTAAATGTTAAGTATTTGAATGTAATATCAATGAGTTTGAATAATTCTTTTCACGAACACCTTCATCATTTTATGCAAAACTACTTACCATCTGTCCAATAATGTAATTACCATGTGTTTTTTTCAAATAGCTTTCACAAAAGAGAAGATAGAGATCTGCAGTTTTTTATCTTTTAGAAAATGACATTGGAAGTTATAGAAGTCGATCAAATTTAGTTCGTTTGACGATTGATGAATTAGATTAAATCTCGATAGATACTTTGACAAAGAATATTCTAAACACATTCTTCATTCGATTTTTTTTGTATTAAGATAATCGTCCCTTAGAAAAATATTGTCCTCGTTCGACCTACGCAAAGTTGACATCTCTATCTCACGTCTATTCATGACCTATAATGGTTTTTCTGATGTTCTTGATCTTGGCCAATTGACCAAGGATCATCAGGAAATTGATCTGATGCTGCTCTAGAAATTTTATTTCTTCTCCAGAAAACACTGCATGAACAAGTAAGTTAACTTTCTTTTGCATTGCATTTATGGATATATATGATATGATGATATAGTTTTCATTGATTAATTCATTGTTGCTTTATCGTTGTACTAAAGTAAAAATTTAACACGTAGTTGAGCTGGTGTAACTTTATGCTTTGAGAGATTAGTCGAATACAATTGCTTTTGTATTTCTTTTTCAGGAAACAACAATACTTCCATTTAATTATACATAGCAATAGGTATGTCAGTTTAAGTAAAAGATGAATTTTTTATGTATTCATAAATAGGTTCGGAAGGATTTAATATCACTATATTTCCTCTTGAATTCTTCTTATACAATGCAACATATTCTATATTAACAGGTGAGTAGCACTAAAAAAACAAGATTCATTTTTACATGATTCTTTTCCACGATTTATTATCTCAAGTATAACGGACGTCAACGTCAGATAAAATAAGTTTTCATTTTCTGTCGATCGCTATCAAGACAAATCTTCGTGCAATGAAATAGAACTTACCATTCTATGGAGTACAATACAACATTTATTCGAGTTCGCTACCGAGTAGAGATGGTCTTCATGTGATTCTGCAAGATACTCTATCACCATGTCTCGATGCACTCTTTCGTCAATAAGGTTATCATGCTATAAGACTAAATTATTGTTAGAGTGTTATTGAAAAAATATTTCGATGTTAATCATGGCAGCTATAAGTGATCGAAATGATGTCTTGTACAAACTTGTTTCAACCACAATATGGCGTCCTGCTTTAACTTAAAAGGCTGTTTCAACATCATGAAACGAAATTGATTAGAACAAACTCTATCACGATATATACTTATGTAAAAAAAATCTTCATTTAACTTATGAAATAATACGCTGCTTTCTTCGAAAATAACTCATGAAGATAAAAAGTATATTATAACATCAAATGATTGTTTGTCAATTAGTAATTTCAAATTTCGTTTATATTTTTTGTTTGAATTTAAGATCAATTTGATTGATTGTAAAAAATTTTTTCTTTTACTATTTTTACTATATAGATATCAATCGATGTTTAGTTAAACCGAAAGACATGCAATAGAACATAATAAAAAAATGCGAAAAGTCCATCCAGAAAGAGAAGACATAGAAAAATAATAAAAGTCATTCGAACAACATTATCATAAACAATAGAAAAAGTACAAAATGAGCATTACCATACGCAATAGAATTCGATGATTATTTCCATACATATAAAACTCGAATAGTTGTTATAACTATTCAACTTTTCAAAATCTTTTATGCGGGTGGGCAGAAGAAGTGGGACGTCTCGTTCAATCTGGGTGGTAGGGTGGGGGTCTGATAGCTGAATAGTTGGATATTCGAATAGTTGTACGAATTAACGAGTTCTACACTACTGAATCATGGTACAAGTAAGACAAATATCTAGCGTTTCATAGATTGTCACCCTCTAAGATTTTTCAAAAATGATAATAACATCACCGGAACTTATTGATATTACTTTCATTGCATACTAGTTTTATTCCTTGTGAATGCAGGGTGTAGATTGTTGCTGTGTTTTTTTTGTTCACGCGCCCGCATCCTCAGACAATTCGATATTGACTTATGTTTCAAGAAAGACTTCTAGTCGCTAATGGATTGAATATAGAGATCCGTACAAGAGAAACTAATATTCAAGTAGTTGACAGAAATTATACAACTAGCGTTTCAAATATTAAGAGGAAAATTGTGGAAATCGGTCATTTCGTTAGAGCTGATTTTAGTCGAAAAATTGAATGAAAGATTCGTTCTAGTAGTTGTTTTAGGCGAATCTGAAACGAAAATTAATCATTGGCATTTGTAGTACAAGATTTATGTTCAAATAGTATTGGATAAGACCTCCTAAGTATGTTGAAACCATCTGTTATGTTAGCTCTTCCTTATTATTGAATACGCCTGCTAAATTTCAAGATTTGGAGCGTTTCGCTCATTAAATGGCTATATTTTCGTTGTGAATTTTAAAGCTTCTTGATGAAGTCTTCAAGAACTTTGATACATGTCATAGTAAAGTAATCTATTCCTAGCCTGCTACTCAACTAACTGAAATGAATGTATTGTTGATCGATCTCGGTCTAAATTTATACAGTACAACTGAATGTGGAAAGTAATACACATTTTATTCTTACTAACAAAAAAAACTATAGCTAATGCATGAGATAGCGGTAGTAAAGTCCAAAATGATTTGTGATGAGTGATAGAAGACATAATCAATAATCCTTTTTTAAGTCGCCGGTAAATCCGCTATATCCCATTTCTTTTATAGCTTCTTGCATATCTTCTTGTTCCAATTCGATTTCGATGGGACATCTTTCGGTAGGACTTCTTTCGGTAACTTTTTTAATGCGAAAATGCATATTGGGAATGATAAGCACTTCTTGTTCTTCCGGATATTCGGAAATTGTCTCGAGATCGAGAGCGCTCCAGCCTTGGTTTATCGTATACGTACAGATAACGGAATACTTGCCAGGCGACGACGGAGGAATAAAGGTCAGGGCAACGTCTCGAACTTTTGATGTCGATAGAAATGCATGATTAACAACACCATTACCGACACGATTGTAAAGTCGATATTCTTCTAAAGCTATTACCATACCCCGATAAGTCTTTCCCGTCCAATGAAATTTCTCAAATGTAGGATCCTTTAGTAATTGGGCATTATATGCGAGACACCATTCTTTTAAATATAAGTTGGGATCCGGATGCCCACGCGTAGCGTTTAATTGTGCACTACGTACATTAAGCCGACGGTAGAAGTTAGTTTCAGCCGTGTATGCTCGGAGTAAGTATGAGGCATCATTTGTTTCACGAGCCTTATCCAAAAAATACTTTATTTGACTCATATCTTGAGAGTCACGCAACTCTATGGCTTGTGTTATTCTTTCATACGCGGTATTCATATTTTCGAATGGCTTGCAATATGCTAGATTATGTGCAGCTTTTTTCACTGCACGTCCCATTGCATGTTTTTGCCACTCAACGCTATGATCAGCAGTGACAAAACGAGCTTGAGCTTCTGTAGGTTGCCGACGAAACAATAATTTGATTTCCGACGTTGCCGCCTCATCAGCAGGCGTCATATTGTAAATATTAGTAATACTACGAACAGCTCCTGCTTCCAATAATAGTTTAACAACATTGAAGTGGCCATAGTAAGAAGCTGCATGCAAAGCTGTGCTACCGTTGGGCTCCATACGATTGATGTCATGTAAAGTAAGTGAAGACAGTAAAATTTTGACTGTATCCATGTCTCCGTTTCGACAAGCAAGATAGAATTTACTTACGCTCATATTTCTTCTATTACCAAGTACCGTTGAAATCTAAGATTCTGTGACTGTAAAGTTTGCTTCAGTTAAAAAACTATAGAGAAACGCGTTTTTAAGTGTTAAAATGTGTTCTTATTTTGTATACGATATTTGCTTTATATTATTACACGCAAATCAGAAATCTCGTTTATATACTGCATCATCCTATTACCACACTTGGTCTTTTCCAAGGTAAACAATTCTTCTTTCTTGTTAGCTGTTTTAGTCGTGTAATTCACCTGAATCATACAGCATGAAAAGGAGAGAAGTATTGGCGTCATAAAACAATCAGACGACACTTTGTTTTTATAAAAGCATTGAAGAAAAAAGACTGGATAATACACAATGAAAAATGTAACAAGGAGCACCAGTGAGTTATTATATACTCAAAATGCGTCATTCTTTCAAAACTGATGTGTATTATGCGTCATTAAGAAGGAATGAAAGAAGTTTATTATTGCATTGGTTGTGCATGAATGTAAAACAATCAAAGTTTCACAATGGCAACGAAACAAAGCATGTTTCTACTAAATGAAACCGATCAAATTATATGAAAGTAGTAGTTTGAACACAATGTTCAGAAGAGACCTATAATGTACATTCACATTTCATGGCCGATTGGTGAACAGATGCAAGTGAAAAAAAGTTCTATTTGTAGAAACCAAACCTGTAATATTGCATCAGTATACATATAATACTCGAAATTTAATGTTCTAATATTTAGTTCGAGTAATGGGTATGAAGAAAGTTCTGTAATGTGTCTTACTTTTGCATAACTTCAGTTTAGTGAAATAGTTTAAAATTGATACTTTTATCTATCAAAAAAATTCAAAAAAAAAAATGTTAAAAGAGAATATCTTTGAACATTTGAAAGGATTTCGACAAGTAAAAATTTAAAACTTGTAATAATACTCCAACAATTGAAATTAACTTAAAACATTCGATGATAATGTAGCCCGTAAAGGACAAATAAGCTAATGATAACAATATTCAGAACAGAATAAATTGGCGTGTCGATTGTAATTTTATAAAACAGAATTGGATAAGAATTGGGTTACGAATCAACACCCATTGTTGATGATCTATCATTGTTATTCTTTTATATTGCAGTCTAATTGAAAGAGAGTTCTTCAAATGTAACTTGATATGAACGCAATAATCATGACATAACTTATGATATTACATCAAAACAACTTTTTATGGAAATTTTGATATCATTCAGATAATTATAAGATGATAGTTTTGCATTGATTTGAAATGATTCATTTGAGTTTCTTATCATTCTTTTCTTTTCGAAATTCAACCTCAAACTAATTATAAAACGTGTTGATTATCGTAGTTCAACAACATCATTTTACCTTAATATGGAAGTGATTATATCTTTCATTCATATTTTCAATTTAGACACGGAAAATAAACTACACAACAAATCATTCTTATCAGTATATAAATAAAGTAGCAACTATCATAATCTATTAGAGTAAACAAAATATTTTTGAGTTTGCCAGTGTCAGGATGTGGGTTTTCTCGACACCTACTAGTTCTCACAGTGGTCCATTTCTATAGAGCATGTTAGCATGGTTTGTTTTTCGTAAAAAAACATTTTGCAATGTAAAATGCGTCGCGGAACCCTTACCTTAAACTTTTGTCAGAAAAACTTTTATTTTAAAAACTATTAAATGTCACAACATTCAATTCAATTTTCTGTGCTGATTTCAAATGTGTCCTTATCTTTTTCTTAGAGTATATCTGAAACAGAGAAACACGAAAACCTATATCTCAATCTAGAAGTATTTGTGCATCTTTATGTTAACTGAATAGACGTTTTAGATAGAGAAGCACATTCTATAAAAGTTTCATCGATTTTAGAACTGTACTAAAGGATGCACATTGGCAACACTGAACGCGTCTTCTTCGAAAACTCTTAGTTGAGAAATCATGTATACTTTTTCAAACAGGAAAACTGTTAGAACAAATTTATTTATATAGAATAATAGAACAAGAACTCTACTTTAAGAATCTGCACAATTTATGCCGTAGATTTTTCTATTTTTCCATAAGATGACAGAAACAGCCATTTTTGGGTCTGGGATTAACCAAATCTTAAAAAAGCTACAATAATTATTGTTAATTTAAAAAGTCAGTCATTAGCCAAAAGTATATTAGACATTATTCAAACCGCAAGAAAACGTCACTTTCATTTTTTTCACGATATGGCCACGTTAATTAAATACAGACGCTACATATTTCTTATAAGATGAACTGTATTTTTTTTACAGCGATCGAATTGATGAAAAATTCATTTTTTTTCAAAAATTTATCTTTCTGCGTTTGTAATTAGGCCTAGTCAGTTTTGATTCAATTTAAAGATTGAATAAAAATGAAATAATATATATATAATAACATTTTTGAGTCGTTCTTTTTTTTTCCTAATTTGATTTACATTCATATATAAGCACAGAAATGAATATTAGAACCAAAAAACAAGAACGCTCTCAGTGTCTTCATAAACCAAAGTATTACATATCAATGACATGATGAAACAAAGAAACAAAAAAGAAACGAAAGAAAACGTTCAAAAAAAAAAAGAGAAGAAAACACAAATAAAATGAAGAAAAAAAAAAGACAAAAGACTACAAGACAACAAAGAACAATAAATAAATAGTGAAAAGATACGACTGTTGTGAAACTGATAGTACTGACACACATATATATGAAAACAAAAAAGAAAACTAAAAAACACTGATCATTATCGTATTTTATTAAATAAATTAAGTACACTGTCGGATTCTTTATTGGCACGACATTTTGTAAATACATTCCAAAATCTAAGTGTTTCATCTCCAGCACCTGTTACAATTGATTCACCATCTGGTGATACAGCTAGATATAATACACGAAATGTATGCCCTGTTAAACGAGCTAATTGTAACATTGATGGATATTTCCAAACAACAATTTGATTTTGTGAATAACCATGCTAAAATTGATATTGTCACATAAAATAAAATAAATAAAAACAACGAGGAATCATGACAATATTGAATATACAAAGTACTTGATACATTTTATCGACTGATACCCTTTCTTTTGAAAACTAGTCAACATCGACTTTTTTACAATATCATATACTTCTGTATTTTATTCAAAATTTAGCCCATGGTCAGTTTTTCTAAAATGTATTTGACTCAATATAGCGTTTGATGTTGATTTTCAGAATGTCTAATTTATTTTGCTTTAAGGTTGTGTGATGGTAACGAATAGCACTAAAAATGTTTTGTTTTCTATTGAAAAATCATTATGGAAGAAAAACAAGAACCCCGTTTCGGTCTGAAGGTAACATTTATTTTTGAATATGTTTTTTTTTACGATTTTATCGAGAATAAAAAATTGTATAACATGTATGGAAATTCAGCTTGGAACTCTGGAATTTTGAATTCCGACAGACAATAGATTATTATTAAATTGACATTTTAGACTCATCGAAACAGTCATTTTTCATTCATATTAGCCTTATAAAACTTCAATCGGTAAAAACTGTATTATATTGGCATAGTTCAGTTTTTAAGTCTCTTTTTTAATATAACTTTAAAGAAAATTTGAATGATTTGTCAGAGACAAAAAAACAAGTACAACTTTTACCATATATTTTTCCTGTTGTTTCTCGTAAGTATATGATAGTGATAAAAAGTCAGTATTGACTAATTTTTGAAAGAAACGATATTGGATGTTAACATTTTGGGTTTAGTGACTTCAAATATTAATGCATTGAAAGAGAAAAAAAAATTGTTATCAAGTACTTCGTATACTCAATTGTGTCATGATTACTCCCTTAAATATTTATTTACCGTTGATACAAGTTCATTCGAATGTTTTGACCAAGCTAAATTACATACCTAAAATTAAATATATAATTATATATAAAAGAAAACTTTGTTTAATATATTTTACTTGAGATCCAGTGTCAATACATTGTAAACTTTGTGCAGTTAATGTATTCCAAAATCGAATATAACGATCAGCTGTTCCACCACCACTTGCTAAAAGACCTTGTTGATGTGGACTCCATGCAATAGCTTTAACAGCTGCTGTATGATCAGTATAAATTTGTATTGGATTCATACATGATTGATTCCATACTAATAAACGATTATCATTTCCACCACTTGCTAACAATTGTCTATCAGGTGACCATTTTAATCCACATACTTCTTGTCTATGTCCAGCTAATTTACGTTCTTGTTTACTTGAACGTGTATCATTTTGTAATATAAATCGATCACGTGAACCTGAATATATACAATAATCATTCCAAGCTAATGCACCAACACGTGCTGTATGACGCGGAAATGAAACTGTTTTACGATTTGTTGTTGCATCCCAGATTTGAACGATACCTAAAAATATTGTTTTTACAATGAATTTTTTTAAAAACTATTAATTACCTTTATGAGTACCAACAGCAACATATTGTCCTCGATCACTCCAAGCGACACTTGTTACTGTATCTGATTCAGTTTGTAAATCACATAATCGTGTTACATTACTTGTATTTGCATTCCATAAATAAACAGATGCATTTAGTCCAACAGCTAAAATATTTGTTGATGACCAATCAACTAAATTTAAATAAAAATCATCTTGAAGTTCCGGTGCATCAAGAACTTTAAATGGTGTTTTAGGAATTTTTCGTAATTGTTTGCGTGGTGAACGTAAAAGACGAATAGATGCTGGTGATAAAGGTGATAGAGAATAAGGAGAATAATGTAAATCATCTGTATTACGACGAGCAGAATAACGAAATATTGTATTTGGATCACGTGTACGTAATAAATTTGAATTTGTATTTGTATATGGTAAACGTTGTTGAGATGATTGAGAAAGAATAC